AGCCTTACATCATTTCAGAATTCCCTGACTTTTAACTGACTCAGGATTAGTTTTCCCTGACAAAATAAATGCAGCAACAAGACAATAATAATAACATAACAGGTCACCAATTTAATATGTTTAGCTCCATAACATTTAAATGCACCTCTAAGAGAAAAAAATTTGATGAACTTTTTTAATGTATGACCTGCATCACTGTACAGAAAACTGCCGTATGATAGCCATATTTACACTGTGCGCATGGCATACAATTTTGCCAATTTTCCTAATCCCTGACTGATCATTTTTAATCTAGGGTTATCTGGGTGGTGGGTGAAATGGGTGGAGGGAAAAATAGGTGGTGGGTGTTTTACTGTGCATATATTTTTTTGCCTTGTTGTTTTTTAGCCTGCCAATTCGAAAAAAAATGTGTCTGATTCCGGGACAAAAATCACGCCATCTCGCGGCTTTTTGAAATCACCCGAGAATGTGTAGAAAACAACAAAAATGGCGCCGGCAACGCTTGTGGGTCCTTTTTTAAGCGAATCTCTGTGATTTTAAAGTAATTTTGAGTGATAAATATTGCCCGGCGGGCAAATGCAATGAAATTTGTACTCTCCCGATAATAAAAACTACTTGCCCAGGGCGATCGGGCAATGGTTAACATCGGGCCCTGCTTACACACTAAAATGTTTTGGCCCTTCAACCAATTTTGAATATCAGAGTCAGTTAAATAGCTATGGTAAATTAAAGACATGGTGTATGAGCCTCCTCCACACGGTTACCAAACTCCTTCTAATCAGGGGTGCTTGGGGAAGGGATGCTGGTAATGTCAGTAAAATTACAGTGATAGGCATCCAGGAGGGCGGAGACAGTAAAGCAGACCCAAAGCTCATTATTGGGACTAAGTATCCCCTCTGGCCTGGTAACACCTGGGGGATCCTTCCAGGAAGTTTAGGAATGTATGGGATGTAAGTGATGACTGACTTTTCCTCCTGGACCTTTGATCTCTTCTTATTGAAATATGCTACTTTAGTTGATGAATGTGCAGTTACTCATTCATGGTTCATGGTTGTGTCAAATTGACCCCCTTGTAAAAAATATGTCATTCTGCACTGATGCTTAACAGTCCTCCCCATGTTATGGGTAATTGCATGAGTGAATGCAATCAGCCTTGTTTCTGGATGTTGTGTAACTTCCTGTAACATGCTGCATCAGAGTTTCCTGCCATCTATCATGCTTATCTAACATTCTGCCCTAAAGGGTCTGAATGTTTGCAGTAACCTCTGTATGAGATATACATACTAGCCACGAAAGAACTTAAACACTACTGATAACAGATAGAGGTGTTGCCCTGAATCTCGTTTCTGTGTCTTAGGGCAGATCGGTGTGTCTCCCTGTGCTGACATGTTTGGAAAATTGACCTGTTTGCTGTTTGAAATTTAACCCTGGTCACACACACATTTATGATGTCCCTATACTACAGATGCTTTAAAGCCATCAGTCATTACCACCAGCATAGAGGTGCAGAAGAATGCAGCCTCAAAAGTCGCGGTATTTTATTTTATTCAACATGTAGAAACACATTCAGGTTCACTTTCTTCTTTGCTGGTGTCGCGCTCAAACACTCACACCTAGACAAGCCTGTGTATCTGTTTACCCAAAGGTTTGTATGGGCATGTCAGGTGTGTTTTTACCCGGGGAATTGGAGACGCTGCTGCCCTCCTCTCTCACTTTCTCATTTTTGGTCTTTATTTACCTTCTTCCCTCTCATTTATTTTTTTTTTTTTGGGTGGTAATCCCATATTTTTCATTTTAGCTCCCAAAAAAGATGCCTATCCACCTTGAGACATTGACGAAGATGCCTTTCTCAATGTTTTCATTAAGATTGTTTTTGATATACCAAAACATAATAGTGACCTTGATGTATTTTTCACTTTTTTTTAAGTGGGGAGACTTGACCAAAGCACTTTACACAGCATTCACTCACACAAAGATGGTGGCAAGTTACTTGTAGCCACAGCTGCCCTGTGGCTCACTACCAAAAGCGAATCTGCTGTATACAGGCACCACCGGGCCCTCTGACCACCATCAGGGGGCAATTAGGGTTATTTATCACCCTAAATAAATAATAAACCAAAAATTTTCAGAAAGTCATTGTAATGGAAATGGAGAACATATACTTTTTTTAAGGATTTTCACTAGCAACTGTCTCTGGACACAAGCGTAATACTTTCACTTTATCTCAATGCATGGCTGCTGAATGTACCCAAACCTTTTTTACTGGGCACCTCTTTAGCTGAAGGGGTATTGAGGTTTTGCACCGCCTCAATATCTAAACCAGCGCCAACCTTTCAAACACTTAAAGCAATGTCAACCGCATTAAATTAAGTACTGCAATAAAGTAAGTTGCAATTTACTCACAATTTCTAAAATAACCACCTCTAAAGTACACTTATTTAGGTTTAGCTGTACATTCTACCATGTGACAGAATGTAACATTGCTATCAGTTAAAGAAAACTGTCAAACTGGTTCATTTATTGATTTCATTTCTACTATGTGTCATGATTCTGTCTTATTTGGTTCTGTTTGTGAGTTTTTAGTTACACTTTATTCTATGTCATTCTGCGTTTTCAAGGTTATTGGTTTTATTTACATTTTGTGTCATTCTAGTTGTTTTCTGGTTGTATTTCAGTTCTTATGTATTTCTCATTTACTCTCTGTTGCCCCCTTGTGTCAGTCTCCTTCCACTAACTCCCTTCTAGATCCTTCTGTCCACACCTGCTCCCAATCAGTTGATTACTCCATTCTTTGTTCTGTTTGGCATTTATACTCCTCCTCTGCAGTTACTGTGATGTGCTGGATTCTCTTCATTCCCTCTCTAACATATGTGTTCCCCTTTGTTCTTATTCATGTGTTTCTTCAATAGCTTTTTCTGGATTTATGCTTTTGTTGCCACCACTCGTTATTAAATCTGCAAGAAACCCCCTCAGCTTCCGTCTGCATTTGGGTCCACTACAAACCTCCACCCAACCTGACACTATGCCCCTCTTGTGTTACAATGTGTCACCCCTAGAGTGCACGCCCCACTGCAATAATAATTCGGCCAATGCATGCGTATATCGACAGACAGCAATACAAGGAAGAAACGCTAATGCTGGGCAGAAATGTTAGGCAGCTGATGTATCTATCTGACTCTAGCTGCCAAAGTGTCAGCTGGATTGAGGTCTGGACCTTGACTTAACCATTCTAAAGCATGACATAATGTTTGAAATAATCTGTTTGATTGTAGCTCTGTCTGTATGCTTAGGGTGTTGCTCTTGCTGGAAGGTAACCTCCTACCTCAGGTCTTTAATAGCCTCTTATAGTTTTTCTTTCGCAGGATTGTCCTGGGTTTACCTTCATTCATCTTTTCATTAGCTCTGACCAGCTTTCCTTTTTGTGCTGTAGAATAGTATGCCCAAAGCATGACACTGCCTCCACTATACTATACTGTGTTTCTCATTGTTGCGTTTCCAGTTCATCATATTCACCTTGCATATTGACTTTGGGATTTTAAAATATTTGCTCCGATTGCGTTTCTGAAATTTTATATATATTATATTATTACATTACAAACAGGAGGACCAAAATTTTACTAAGGGCTGTACATTTTTTCAGATATGTGTATAAAATATTACGACCATGTCATGATTTGGCCTGTTTGCTCCTCCCTAATTAGTAATTCCTTTCACCTGTCGTTTTCCCTCCCTGCCTCAATTATAATTTATTCCTCTCACCTGTTTCCTCTGGTTTATATTCAGTTCAGCCTGAGCATTCAGGGCCAGATCATTACTTGTCTTTTTGTTAGTCTGTTCAGTTTTTTTTTTTTTCATTTCATGGTTCATGTCCTGGATCCTAGCTGCCAGTGGAAAGAGGGTTTTAGTGTTTGTCTCGTCTCCTGATCGTCCACTGTTCCTCCCCTGCTGAGTCCTCTGGGTTTTTGGCAATTTATGTGGGGAGGTTCAGTTTTTATCCAGTAAGCCTGGCTCCAGGGAGGAGACCAGTTTAAAGTCCTGCTTAAGTTCCGGTTCCACGTCCTGTCTCGGCTACCCTCTTCCACTGAGCCTGCCTGCCTGCACCTGATCCTGTCTGCTCCTGTGCGTGACCACCTGGTCATGCTTCTGGTCCCTGTCAGACTCTGAACCCTCTGGATGCCTGTGGATGCCTGGAAGTCTGGATCCTGCCACCTGTTTCTGTTCCTGCCTGATCTGGATCCTGCCTGTTCTGTCTGTTTCTGTCTGTTCTGGATCCCTGACCAGGATCGGCTTCCAGCATGTCCTCTGGAACTGCAGCACTTGGGACATTCTAGGACTGGACTGTTAAACCAGAGTGTCTGAGATTGGGTGGTGCCCCGCTCCCCATCCTGCAGCTCCGCTTTTGTTTTGTTTGTTTATTTAATAAATGTTTTTAACTTTCCTACTGACTTTCTCTCCTTGAATACTGGGTCCATCTGTCCTCGGTTCATGACAGACCATTTTCCCCAATCCCTTGTAGAGATTAGCAACCCATACAATCCCAATTTCCTGTTTTCCTCCAGCTGCTTACATTTTGTCTAGACTTTTAATATTATTATAAAATCTGTGAAAAGGCCCTTTTTGTTACTGTTGTTTGGTTGAAGAATGTCAACAATGTGAAACAAAATAAGCACCAACTTCTGTCTTTAATGAGAAAGAAACACACAGAAAAAAAAATGTCGTCTTTTCCAAGTGTTTAGTTGTTTAATTCAGTACAGATGTTGCATAAAAACAAATAAAACCCCCCTTTATGTATTTTTTGCCTGGTGTGTCTCTCTTTAAATTACCCTTTAATGGCAGGTTGGCCTTACAGCTGGAGATTTTAGCTGCCAGCTCCTCTATCCTGTAAAAATCAAGGAAACTCTTTATTGTAGGGTTTTTGTCTGGATAAATGTGATCATCTTGATTAACCTTTGTATTAAAATCAGGTTCTTAATTTTTCTCCTGTTTTGTCTCTTATCTAGGTTTGAAAAGGAGTCAGGACACCTACTGGACCAGTCAAGCACAGCACTAATGCCTTCCAACAAGTATTCTGGTGCTATCTTAGAGGAGAGCAGCAACGTGACTGCCACTGCCACAGTAAGACACACTCACAACTTTCAAGTTAGGAAAGATAGAGTTAGGAATATAGCTGAGGGAAAAAAACAACCCAGAGCTCATCCATCTCTTCCTGCATGCATACAGACGCTCTTCACACCTCTCTGTGACCCAGCTGTGCAATAAAGCAGTGCCTGTCGCTCTGCCAAGACAGATGCCTGGACAGGAGTGCCAGCATGTCATACGAGTCTAATTGAGAATGCATGTTGGTGGTGAGGGTGTCTGCTTCTGCTGCACACAAACAGATGCATCCGCAAGGGGTTGGTATAAGAAGAGGCTGAATAGATACGGGGATGGAGGCAGCAGAGGGAGGGAGCAGGGATGAGTGAGAGCAGCAGGATAAAAATTACATAGAAATGAAAATGAAAATATTTGAATACTTTGGGCTGCAAAGACTTTTTCAGTATTCCAGTTCAGCCTCTGTTTTACGCAACCTTTCAGCCACTGTTTCAAACCTTTGCTCTTTCAGTCATAAAGGCCAAATGGGGCTTCCATCGTCCGTTGCCACTTCTTCCTCTTTTTCACTCCTGTATATCACTCTCTCTGAAAGGCAGACTTCCTTCCTTCAAACATCTGCTGTTCTTTCTGTTCCCCCTCTCTTTGCTGAACTTCTGTCTTCATTCAACTTTAATGCGAGAGGCTGATAGTGTTAAAAAAAAATGCAGGTTGAAAACTACAGAGAGTTAGGTTAACATTAATATTTATTTGTTGTACTATGCTTTGTTCAATGAATGTTATGCTGCTGTTTGGTCTCTCTTAAATGGAGGGACATTGAAAAGGTAAATGTGTATTCAGCAGAGTTCAGTCTGTGGGTTGCAGCCATGACAAATTTACCAAACCCTCTCTGTAAATAAAAAAAACAAACATATTTTGCAATTCCTTTTACGGGTTTGTGTTAATTATCGGATTTAATAAAAAAAAAACAGTAGCCCCTGAAGTGAGTAAGAGAAACATACAGATCAATGGCAGCCTTCCGATGCTGGTAGTCAGCTTATTGGTTTGGGTTGAGGTTGAGTCTTATGAGAGGTAATTTTCTTTCCCTCCTATCTTAAATTCTGGTGGTAGTTTGCAAAAAAATTGGTGGGAAACTCTTGAAGACTGAATTTAGCCCCTAAGAGTCAAGATATGTGTTTCCCTCTGGTTCCAGAATCTGTTCTTTATATCTCTCTTCTTTGATAATATCATGAACCGAGGACAGATGGAGCCAGTATTCAAGGAGAGATAGTCAGTAGGAAAGTTCAAAAAGTTTATTAATAAATAAAACAAAAACTAAAGTGGAGCTGTGGCTCGCGGACACTGCAGAATGGGGAGCGGGGCACCGCCCAATCACAGACACTCTGCAGGAGAAACACAGGTAGGTGACCACGATCATCTGACAGAAGGTGATTATCTGAGTTGGCCACTTACCTGGTTTAAGAGTCCAGTCCAAGAATGTCCCCAAAGCTGCAGTTCCAGAGGACTTGCAGGAAGCCGATCCTGGTCAGGGATTCAGAACAGACAGGAACAGGAGACAGATCAGGCAGGAACAGACAGGTGGCTGGATCCAGGCTTCCAGGCATCCACAAGCTCCCAGGAGGGTTCAGAGTCTGACTGGGACCGGAAGCATGACCAGACGGTCACGCACAGGAGCAGACAGGATCAGATGCAGCTGAGCAGGCTCAGTGGAAGAGGGTAGCCGAGACGGGACGTGGAACCAGAACTTAATGCAGGACTTTTAACTGGTGTCTTCCGTGGAGCCAGGCTTACTGAGATAAAAACTGAACCTCCCCACATATAGAGCCAAAAACCCAGACGACTCAGCAGGGGAGGAACAGTGGACAATCAGGAGACGAGACAAACACTAAAACCCTCTTTACACTGGCTGCCAGGATCCAGGACATGAACTAAGGCAAAAACGGAACAGACAGACTAATAGAAAGACAAGTAATGATCTGGCACTGAATGCTCAGGCTGAACTGAATATAACCAAGAGGAAGCAGGTGAGAGGAATAAATTATAATTGAGGCAGGGAGGGAAAACGACAGGTGAAAGGAATGACTAATTAAGGGAGAGCAAACAGGCCAGATAATGACAGATAATTATAAGCCTTGTTTCTCAAGTAAAGGAGATGCCACCCCGCATCACCATACTGCCCCCACCAAAAGCAGTTTAGGAGGGAACATCCCAATTACCAACCTCTGATGCACAGATTCATTGTCCTGAGCCAATGCTACAACAAAGAAATAGTTGACCAAACATATGTCCTTCTCTAACTCTCCATCCATGTTCTACTGTTTAACCAAGACTAGGGCTATAGCTTTTACAAAGAGGTTCTCCATTTAGCTAAGCTGGAGGAAACACAAAGTATTCCAAAGCTTTTTTTTTGGCTTTGTTGGATGTGCTTAGAGATCTTTTCTTCATTTGAAGGCATTTAGAGGCTATATCTGACAGACTCTGCACTCTCACAAACTCAATGTCCTTGCCCAATTCCTAAAGCTGTCACTCATCTATAAAGAGTGGGAAAATATAATAGAAAAATTGGATGTTTCTATGTTTTCCTCCAGGTTTCATCTTGTAAAGGTAAAGAGCTAAAACTATCCATCCTCTTTCTTAAAACTCTAAGCTATACCATAGACACAATCCAAATTACTTTGTAGGGGAGTACCCTTTGAAATTTTCTTTTTCTGTTCCTGTTACCAAAACTCTCCTCCATACCTGCCTCACAGTGTGACATGAAATCACAGATTAGAGTCAGGACCAGAGATGGCAAAAGTACTCACTTTCAGTACTTGAGTAAAAGTACAGATACTTGTGTTAAAAAATACTCTGGTAAAAGTGGAAGTACTGATTTAACTTCTTTACTCAAGTAAACGTAACAAAGTACAGGCTTGTAAATTTACTTAAAGTAGAAAAGTAAAAGTAGAAACCACTTTTTTCATGCCGTTGCCTACATTTTAAATGGATGTCTGCCAATAGGACTAGATCTCCGTTGTGTTCATTTTCAATCATCTCGTCGTCCATGCTACTATGCTAACGCCACCGCCACCAAGCTGCAATGATTTGCCGCGAATGAATACCGCCGAATTTGTCGATTCATCTTGTAGTGGTGTGTCAAATGCAACGTAGATTCCCATCCATTCAGATTGAATTTGGTATTGATGACGTGAAAAATAATAACGGTAACTCCATTGAAATGATTCAAAACCAAAGTAACGAGCCAATTTTTTTAAAATGTAAGGAGTAGAAGTAAAAAGTCGCCATAAAAATAAGTAGTAAAGTAAAGTAAAAATATCAGAAAAATCTACTTGAGTACAGTAACGAAGTATTTGTACTTCGTTACTTCCCATCTCTGGTCAGGACCAAATATTCCTCTAAGATTCAAACAACTAAATATGAGGTGACTGATAGTTGCACAGTGTACATCCAGCATTAGACCTCATTAAGGCCTGAAAAGGAATTGATAAATAAAAGTTCAATGAATGAAAATTTTCAAATATCTCATTAGTAGTAGTAGCAAATGCATTAGCTTTTTTTGAAAATCACTGTACCGATATTAAAGCCTTCCTATAAGTTATTCCAATCCTACTTATGTTACCTCTGTCTGACTGGTTATCTGCCCAGGTATTACCTCTTAATTATACCAAGTCTATGCATCCCTTAGGGCCGCGGTTCTCAAAGTGTGTGGCGCGACCCACTGGTGGGGAATTGAGACGTGACAGGTGGGGCGCGCCAAGTTCCGGTGTGTGTGTGTGTGTCGTGTGACTATAAATGTAGAACGTGTGAGAGCAAACTGTCCTTATAGCTGTATGTTGCCGCTTTTTAGACCAATCAAACCCACAAAGTAATCCTTACTAGCCTACATACAGTCTAATTAAAAGAACATTAGATATGAGAAAAATTTCACCTGGAACTGAAGTGCCAAAATAATGATTGACGTGACGTCAGCATATTATTTGTAACGGAATAAACTTTCGCGCCCCAGTGTTGCCAACTTTGTCGCTATATTTCAGACCCCTCCAGCGACTCTTTTTCAAAAAAGCGACTAGCGACAAATCTAGCGACTTTTGGAGACTCTTACGTGAAAGCACGTATCGTTCCTTTTCTTGTCCTCCAGCGGCAGGTGCTGCCGTGGGGCGCCTTCTCCCTCCCAACCCCATTCTCCCCCGCTATCGCAGGAGTCCCTCTCAGCGCTGCAGTCAGACACACCACAGCGTCCAGACTGCAAATAAAGCGCACATGCGCCGGGATTGACGGCGCAGGTTGATCATAATTAACTGAATTTGAAATATTTTATCTTAAATAAATAGGACCAGTTTATTGAAATGACGTCTGACTCCACCCTGAGGCTCAGGTTTAATGCTCAGACTCATAGTGAATTCTGGTTTGGAGTGGAGAGGGAGTATCCACTCATCGGGCAGAGAGCTGTGTGCATTCTTCTTCCCTTTGCCACATCATGTCTCTGTGAGATGGGCTTTTCAGCTGTTGCTTCACTGAAAACAAAATACAGATCTCAGCTGAACATTGAGCATGACTTGAGAGTGGCAGTATCAAGCCTGCAACCCCGTTTTGAGAAACTGTGCAATGCAAAACAGGCTCATTGCAGCCACTGATGCAGGGATAAATAGACCTGTCTTGCCAGATGGATTTCACTTCTTTTCTTTTATTAACAGATTGCAGAGTGGAACTTTAATTTTTTCTATCTTTGAGCTTGATACAAATTTTGACACAGCTGCATTTTTATTTTCTTTATTTTTGAGCTTGCTGGCTTTTGATGTAGATAGTTTGTATTTAGATACTACTTGTTCAATAAAATTGGAACATTTTAAGATTGTTGCATATTTCATTACCATTGTGTTGGGGCGATGGGGACAGGTGGGGCTTGAAAATTCCCCCTTGTCCAAAGTGGGGAATGACAGAAAAAGTTTGAGAACCACTGCCTTAGGGAGTAAGCAGGTGTAGAGATTGTATAGTTTGATGTTCTGTGTCTTTGTTGGGGGAAACAA